ACCCAGTGCTGCTTTGTGCAGAAGTGTGTCCCCGTCTGTGTACCCAGTGCTGCTTCGTGCAGAAGTGTGTCCCCACTGTGTACCCAGTGCTGCTTTGTGCAGAAGTGTGTCCCCACTGTGTACCCAGTGCTGCTTTGTGCAGAAGTGTGTCCCCGTCTGTGTACCCAGTGCTGCTTCGTGCAGAAGTGCGTCCCCGTCTGTGTACCCAGCGCTGCTTCGTGCAGAAGTGTGTCCCCGTCTGTGTACCCAGTGCTGCTTCGTGCAGAAGTGTGTCCCCGTCTGTGTACCCAGTGCTGCTTCGTGCAGAAGTGTGTCCCCACTGTGTACCCAGTGCTGCTTCGTGCAGAAGCGCGTCCCCGTCTGTTTTCCTGACTCACACTCACTCCTCAGGGCTGTCCCGAGGATCCACCTCCTCCACGACACTCCCTGTGCTTTTCTGCCTCCCCACACCCCACCCCACTCCCTCGCTGGGCTTCAGGTAAGGGCTGCTCCGTTGTGTGTCCTGGGGCTTCCCTTCAGTGGCTGGACAACCCCACTGTATGCTGCGGCTGTAGCCATCGCTCAGGGGCTGACACGCATGGCAGCCGGTGGATTCTTTGTCTACCAAAACGACGGGCCAAGGAAGGATCTGAGAGGCTGCCTTAGGCACAGCTCTCCCTGCTGCCCGTGAAGCTGCTCTCCTGGAGAAGTTACTCTCCTTGCCCACAGCCGTGACCAAGCAGGGCCCCATCTGTGCTGCCAGCTGTGGTCAGCCTCAGCTCTTCTCAGTGTCCCTCTGTTTCTCCCTGTGTTTCTCAGGGTCTCACTCCTTTGCCAGGGTCGTCTGTCTATGTCTTTGTCTCCATCATTGCCTCGCTCCATCCCCTGGTATCTATGTCTCCCTGGCCTGCCCCCTCTGCCACACAAGCACACACAGGAAGGCTCCTGCGCTCCCAAGCCTCAGGGAGCCTCCCAGGGCTTAGGTAGGTACAGGAAAACAGATGCCAAAGAGCTGGAGGAAAATCCGTAGCCTGGCAGGGCCCTCAGCCGCTGGTCTTTACTGGAACTGTTGGTATCAGGAATGCCTCAGCCTCAGGACCACGAGTGCCTTGCAGGGGTCTCCGTTGCCTTATCTTCCAGTGAGGACCGCAGTCCCTGGTGGCTGGCCTGCCTCTCAGCGGTCGCCAGGTGCAGGGGAGACGCTGGGGCTGGCCCTCCCCTGCACTTGGCAAATACCTCCCGCTCATGTGGGGAGAGGGGCAGAGGCGTGCGTGGCCCTCGTCCAGTGTCAGCGACACCTGCCCGCAGGACTGAAGGTCATCGTGGGGGCGCTGGTGCACTCGGTGCGGAAGCTGGTGGACGTGACCATCCTCACCATCTTCTGCCTGAGTGTCTTCGCCCTGGTGGGCCTGCAGCTCTTCAAAGGCAACCTCAAGAACAAGTGCATCAGGAATGACTCTGCTCTCTACGACGGGGCCAACTACTCACTCGACATTGAAAGTGAGTGGAGTCCACTGAGGACCTGGGGACCCTACAGACCCCGGGGTGGGGTGAGGGCCCCCTGCACACCTGCACAGACAAGGGGGACCCTACAGACACCGGGGCGGGGGTGAGGGCCCCACACACCTGCACAGACAAGGGGCACCCTGCAGACCCCAGGATGGGGGTGAGGGCCCCACACACCTGCACAGACAAGGGGCACCCTACAGACCCCAGGGTGGGGTGAGGGCCCCCTGCACACCTGCACAGACAAGGGGCACCCTGCAGACCCCGGGATGGGGGTGAGGGACCCCTGCACACCTGCACAGACAAGGGGGACCCTACAGACACTGGGGCGGGGGTGAGGGCCCCACACACCTGCACAGACAAGGGGGACCCTGCAGACCCCAGGGCGAAGGTGAGGGCCCCCACAAACCTGCACAGACAAGGGGGCCCTGCAGGCTCTGGGATAGGGGTGAGGGCCCCTGCACACCTACACAGACAAGGGGCACCCTACAGGCCCTGGTGTCGGGGTGAGGGTCCCACACACTTGCACAAAGGGGACCCTACAGACACCGGGACAGGGGTGTGTGGGGGACGAGGGCCCCTGCACACCTGCACAGACAAGGGGGACCCTGCAGACCCGGATGGGGGTGAGGGCCCTGCACAGACAACGGGCACCCTACAGATCCCGGAGGGCCGCACACACCTGCACAGACAAGGGGCACCCTGCAGACCCCGGATGGGGGTAAGCACCCTGCACAGACAAGGACAGTGTTTGGACTCCTCCTCCCTGCTGACATGCCTCCTCCGAGGTGTGTGTCACTTGGAGCTCCCCAGGATCCCTGTGCTGGGGAAATGAGCTGCAGGTGCGGGCACCGAGGCCCTGCCGGCTCAGCCCCTCCTCTGCAGTGGGACTGAGCACGCACAGCCGGGGAGCCCACCTGCCTCAGGAAGAGGACCGGGGAGGCGTGGCCTTGGCTGCACCCAGCTGGTGTGGGGGCCAGGGCCCTCGGGTGGGGGCCTCACCTCTCCCTTTCTTCGGCAGGCTCCTACGTCAACAAGCCAGGCACGTCTGAGCCTCTGCTGTGCGGCAACGGATCTGATGCGGGGTGAGTAGTTGACCGCGACAGCACCGACGCCGGCAGTCCCTTCTCCAGCTTCTCCCAGCATCTCTGGGCAGAGACTGGCGGTCCAGTGGCACGGGAGGTGTGGCAGTGAACACGTGCTGGCCCGTGCCCTGACTCGCAGCCACAGGGAGGGGTGTGTGAGGAAGCAAACAACTCCAAGAATCGTGACTGCCTACTGGGCTCCGGGTCCTGTGTGTCAGTCCAGAGCGAGGGCGGGATCATCAGGGCATGGCTGGCATGGACTGGACTCAGGCGTGGGTGTCCAGAGGGTGGACAGGGCAGCTGAGAGCTGGCTGGTTTAGGGTGCGCTGTCTCCGCTCGATGTGGTCCCTCATCCCCCGGCACACTAGCCTGGGCCTGTTCTCACAAGACTGGAAGTGGGCAAGGCCTCCCGAGGCCCAAGCTTACCACTGGCCCGACGGCACACTTTCTGCTTCTGCTGACCAAAGTCCGAGGGCTGGGAAAATACACTTCACCCCTCCAAGGAAGGCGTTGCAGGGGCATAGTGCCCAGGGGGTGGGTGAGGAGGGGCAGACTGCGGTCATTTTTGCAAAAGATGGACTCCAGGAGGAAGGCACTGTGCATGCAATGCCTTCGTGTCGTGAGTCATCACGGCTCACTCTGCCGTATGGGTTCCATTAGCCCCACACAGCAGAGGAGGAGACACATGCCTCAGACTACATTTCAAGTTCTGAGAGGCCAGACTCACGGCGAATGAGTGGGAGGGCCAGGTGGGAACCATGGCAACCGAGAGTTCACGTCCCATCTGAAGGGTCAGCCATTGCTCTGCCGGGCTCTAGGTTGCCGTGGAAATGTGGGTGCACTACTTACAGCTCTTCCAACACTTGAGAGAGAGACAAAAAAAATCTAAATTTTTGTGTGAAATCTCCCAGCTATGGATTTGACTACAAATGCCTATTTTGGGGCCAAAGTATTTCTGTAGGCCAAATCCAGCCTACAGGCTTCCAGTTGGAGATCTCTCACATACATGTACAGGTGCTGCCTTGTGGGCTCCATGGGCTCGGTGATGATGCAGGGCAAATAGCAAGGTCAAGGAGGACCTCCTGGAGGCCAGGTCGAGGTGAGCGTTCAAGGACAGAGGGGTGAGGACCCCTCAGCTCGGCCTGTTCTGTGGATCACTGGAGCGGGGCAGGAGCAGAACATGTTCAGGCAACATTCCAGAAAAGCCCGTCCTCCCCCACTGCAGGACTGGGGGCAGATCAGAGCTGCATCCCCGCCCCTGAGAGGCCTCCAGCCCCACCCTGCCCAGGTGGAGCCGCGTGGAGCCTCTGGAGGCTGCACCTTCATCAGCGCCCCTGGAGAACGCCCTGGGATCGAGCTGCGAGGTGGGAGTGGACGGGGTGTTTGGCCCCAGCAGGCTCTGTGGTGTCTGTCCTTCAGCTGACGTCAGAGTTCTCAGTTTATGGAGTGCAGCGTGAGAATCCAGTGCACGGATCCAGTGTCACTAGCGTTTGCATCTCTGCCGGAGCTTTCGTCACTCAGGCGCTTGGCGTTGGCTTTTGGCTTGGGGAGGGTTTTCTGACAACAGCATTCCTTTGCTTTAGCGTAAATTGAAACTGAGCGCCTCCTCCACGTCCTTTTGCCGCCTACACAATGGCATTTCTCAAGGCAGTGACTCCAGGGCAGCTCAAGCACCCCCAGGGGACCCTTGTGAGGTTCATCTGTCGGACACCCCTCAACACAGCCAGGGAGGTCCCAGCAGGCAGTGGGGAGTGGCCCCCACTGGGATGGCAGGGGGAGGCCAGCCCAGGACCGGGGCAGAGAGAGCCCTGAAACCCGGCTGGGCACAGAAGAGCTGGGCCAGAGCGCAGGCCCATTCTGACCAGCTGCACTGTGGGAGAACAGGCGGGGAACAGCTGCTAAAGGAGCATCTGATGATCTTCAGCATTCTCACACAGATTATTCCAGGCCGTCCTCTGATCACGCCTGAGATGACAACAGCCAGACTTAATTTGCATTTTATGTAGAATGAGTACTACGCTAAGGACACCACACGGGAGATTTGCACGGTGGTCTCACTTAACTCTCAGAGCAGTGAGCTGCTGATACGCACTGGCCACAGTGGGGTTCTGCAGAGGCCGTAAAAGTCAGGCTGCACTCTCAAGGCTGCCTTTAGGAAGCCCGCAGGAAAGGGGCAGGCTTGCTCCTTGGAACAGCCAGCAGGAGATTGCCCGTGAGCGTGGGTCTGCAGGGTCAGGAAGCTCAAAGCCCTCCAGTCACAGTGCAGGTAGGAGTGGAACTGATTACCCTTGTCTGGAGGGAGTGCTGACCCATGGTATGGGTCCTGGAGCTGTGTGTTCCCATGGGTGTCTGCAGTCGGAGAGCCCCAGCTCAATGCTGGTGAAGGAACCTGGGGGTAAAAGAATCCCGAACATTAAACAAGGCATTACCCTTTCCTCGCCAGGCCCTCCCCATTGCCCTGAGCTGAGATTTCTATTTAAAAAAAAAAAAAAACAAACATTCATTTATTCTGTTGGAGAGGCAGACTTACAAAGAGAGGGAGAGAGAGGGAGAGGTCTTCCATCTGCTGCTTCACTCCCCAGATGGCCACAATGGCTGCAGCTGGGCCAATCCAAAGCCAGGAGCAAGGAGCTTCTTGCAGGTCTCCCATGCGGGTGCAGGGGCCCAGGGACTTGGGCCGTCTTCCACTGCTTTCCCAGTGGCAGAGAGAGAGAGAGGGAGAGAGAGGTCTTCCATCTGCTGGTTCACTCCCCAACTGGCTGCAATGGCTGGAGCTGCGCCAGTCTGAAGCCAGGAGCCAGGAGCTTCCTCCAGGTCTCCCAGGTGGGTGCAGGGGCCCAGGGACTTGGGCCGTCTTCCACTGCTTTCCCAAGTGCATTAGCAGGGAGCCGGATGGGAGGTGGAGCAGCTGGGAACTCAAACTGGCACGCGGAGGGGACACCAGTGCTGCAGGCAGAGGCTTAACTGACTACACCACAGCACCAGCCCTGAGAGAGTTTTTGACATCAACTCACCTACTAAGAGATAGGAATCCAACACTCCCCCCCCCCTCCACCCAGCACTCACTGAGCAGTCATCTCTGGTGTGGCCTTACTCATGGACCAGTCTTCAGGAGCAGGCTGGACTGACTCAAGTCCTGGGGTACTTTGCTGTTGTACTTCTCTCTTAAAGCGCCTGTGTAGTTGTAAGCAACTGGCTTCTCTTTATAGAAAGGCTTACAATTTGATGCTGGTGCTGTGGCATAGTGGGTAAAGCTGCCACCCGCGTGCCGGCATCCCATATGGGTGCCGGTTCAAGTCCCGGCTGCTCCACTTCTGAGCCAGCTCTCTGCTGTGGCCTGGGAAAGCAGTAGAAGATGGCCCAAGTCCTTGGGCCCGTGCACCCGCATGGGAGACCTGGAGGAAGCTCCTGGCTCCTGGCTTCAGACTGGCGCAGCTCCAGCCATTGCAGCCAATTGGGGAGTGAACCAGCAGATGGAAGACTTCTCTCTCTCTCTCTCTCTCTCTCTCTCTCTGCCTCTCCTCTCTGCATGTAACTCTGACTTTCAAATAAAATAAATAAATCTGAAAAAAAAAAAAGAAAGGCTTACAGTTTCCTGTTTGTCAAGTAGAATTGTTGAGATGATTCAGGCATATTGTTTGTAGAGCACCTAGAGCAAAGAGAGGCACAGGGGACGTGCTCAGTGAGCGGGAAGGGTCCTCCCCACGTTAGATACAGTCCGTCGGGGAGCTTGGCTAACGCGAGTGCTCCTTCAACAGGCAGCTCGCAATGGTACCCACAGGCTGGGTTTCAGCTCCGTATTACTACTACTAATTCTGTTTCCTGGTGTGGACTGCCAAAGAGTTTGATGTCTTGTGGAATCACATCTGAGCCATCAGCTGGCCTCCCCCGGCCACTGCCTGACCAAGACACTCTGAGGAGAAAGGAACTAGTGTCCCCCACTTCATGGATAAGTGAAACTGAGCTAGAGAGACTAAGTGGCCAAAGTCATCCGGGTAATTAGAGAAAGGTCAGGCCTTGGACTCTGATCTCTGCCTTCAAACTCTTGTCCTGCAGCTCCAAGCTGCCCGGGCCCCATCAAGCAAGGGCCCACACGATTGGTGACCTTCTCTGTTCTTGCCGCAGCCACTGCCCTGCTGGTTCTGTCTGCCGTAAAACTTCTCAGAACCCGGATTTTAACTACACCAGCTTTGACTCCTTTGCTTGGGCTTTGCTGTCTCTGTTCCGCCTCATGACACAGGACTCCTGGGAGCGCCTCTACCAGCAGGTATGGATCTGCGTGCCCCCATGTGGGCTTGGTGGGAGGCTGGGTAGGTCAGCCATGTGGAAGATCTGGCCTTGATCTCAGGGGCCCACATGCTATGGGTACATGTCTCTTTTCTCTCCCTTGACTGCAGACGCTGAGGGCTTCTGGCAAGATGTACATGGTCTTCTTCGTGCTTGTCATCTTCCTGGGGTCTTTCTACCTGGTCAATTTGATCTTGGCTGTGGTCACCATGGCGTATGAGGAGCAGAACCAGGCGACCATGGCCGAGATTGAAGCAAAGGAGAAGCAGTTCGAGGAGACCCTCGAGCTGCTAAGGAAGGAGCAGGAGGTCTGTGAGGGTCAGAAGACCGTGGATCCAGTTGCAGGCTGCGTTCTCGGACTGAGGCGGGACCAGCACTGGGAACCTGTAGGAGGACTCTTCTTACCCCAGAGCCCTCGTAGGTCAGGCTTTCCCGAAGGAGAGCCCAAGTGAGGATACCCTTGAGAGTGCCCTCAAGAGAAGGGAAGTGGAGGCAGCAGGATGGGTGGAGGCTGTGTACTAGTCAGCCCTTTGTGGCCAACACACGACACCCGAGGCAGGCTACCTGTGAAGAAAGGAGCTTATTAGCTCACAGCTCTGGAGAGGGAAGGCATGGTGCCTGCCTTGGCTTGGCTCTGGGGAGGCCTCTTAGCTGCACACATCCCTGTGAGTGGCAGTTGTGGGACCACAGACGGGAGTCGGCAATCACACCTTGAAACAGGAAACCCAAGAATTGGCTGCAGACAGGTCGAGGCTCTTATAGCAAACCTCTCTTTAGAACTAACAAGCGAGGCCAGCGCCGCGGCTCACTAGGCTAATCCTCTGCCTGCGGCGCCGGCACACCAGGTTCTAGTCCCGGACGGGGTGCCGGATTCTGTCCCGGTTGCCCATCTTCCAGGCCAGCTCTCTGCTGTGGCCAGGGAGTGCAGTCGAGGATGGCCCAAGTGCTTGGGCCCTGCACCCCATGGGAGACCAGGATAAGTACCTGGCTCCTGGCTTCGGATCAGCACGGTGCGCCAGCCGCAGCGCACCGGCCGCGACGGCCATTGGAGGGTGAACCAACGGCAAAGGAAGACCTTTCTCTCTGTCTCTCTCACTGTCCACTCTGCCTGTCAAAAAAAAAAAAAAAAAAAAAAAAAAAAAAAAAAAAAAAAAAACTAACAAGCGAGTCCATGAGAATTACCTCAGTCCCTTTTGAGTGTATTCCTCCAATGACCCAAGGCTCTCCCAATAGGTCCCACCACTTAAAGGTTCCATCAACTCCCGTGTCACTGCGCTGGAGGGATTGGGATCCCAACACATGGGCCCTTGAGGGACAAACCACAGCCAAACCATGGCAGGCGGACACTAGGTGGAGTGCTCTCAGCTGGAGCTCCGGAGCAGGACGAGTCGATTCCTGCTCACACCCAGCCCAGGGCAAGAGGCATGTGCAGAGGGCTGCAGGTGTGAGCCGTCCCCTGCCGTCCCTGGAGACCCCAGCAGTCCACTGTGAGATCCGGTGAGGGAGGTGACCAGGGACGGCTGCCTCGCCATGGCCGCATCCACCACCCAAGTCCTAAGTCTTGGCCGCCTCTGGCTCAAATCCCTCACGTCTGGGGTACGCTATATGCCCCTCACGTCTGGGGTGTGTGTGTATGCCCCTCACGTCTGTGGTAAGTGTGTATGCCCCTGATGTCTGGGGTGTGTGTGTATGCCCCTCACGTCTGGGGTACGCATGTATGCCCCTGATGTCTGGGGCATGCGTGTATGCCCCTCACGTCTGGGGCACACGTGTATGCCCCTCATGTCTGGGGTACGTGTGTATGCCCCTCACGTCTGTGGTAAGTGGGTATGCCCCTGATGTCTGGGGCATGCGTGTATGCCCCTCACGTCTGGGGCACACGTGTATGCCCCTGACGTCTGGGGCACACGTGTATGCCCCTCACGTCTGGGGCACGCGTGTATGCCCCTCACGTCTGGGGCACGCGTGTATGCCCCTCATGTCTGGGGTACGTGTGTATGCCCCTCACGTCTGTGGTAAGTGTGTATGCCCCTGATGTCTGGGGCATGCGTGTACGCCCCTCACGTCTGGGGCACTCGTGTATGTCCCTCACGTCTGGGGTGTGTGTGTATGCCCCTCACGTCTGGGGTACACGTGTGTGCCCGTCATGTCTGGGGCACACGTGTATGCCCCTCACGTCTGGGGCACCTGTGTATGCCCATCATGTCTGGGGTATGCGTGTGTGCCCCTCACATCTGGGGCATGCGTGTACTCCCCTCATGTCTGGGGCACACATGTACGCCCCTGACGTCTGGGGTATACGTGTTTGCCCCTCACATCTGGGGCACGCGTGTATGCCCCTCACGTCTGGGGCACGCATGTATGTCCGTCACGTCTGGGGCACACGTGTATGCCCCTCACGTCTGTGGTAAGTGGGTATGCCCCTGATGTCTGGGGCACGTGTGTATGCCCGTCATGTCTGGGACACACATGTATGCCCCTCATGTCTGGGGCACGCGTGTATGCCCCTCACGTCTGGGGCACGCGTGTATGCCCCTCACGTCTGGGGCATGCGTGTATGCCCCTGACGTCTGGGGTATGTGTGTTTGCCCCTCATGTCTGGGACACGCGTGTATGCCCCTCACATCTGGGGCACGCGTGTATGCCCCTCACGTCTGGGGCATGCGTGTGGGCTGGGCTCCACCAGATACGGCCAAGCTGCTGCAGCTGCTCTTCTCTCTCCACAGGTTCTGACAGCGCTGGGGGTTGACACAGCCTCCCTGCACTCCCACAGTGGGTCACCCTTAGCCTCCAAAAATGCCAGTGAGAGAAGGCACAGAACGAAGCCGAGGGTGTCAGAGGGCTCCACAGACGACAACAAGTCATCACAGTCCGAGCGTTACAACCAGCGCAGGATGGTAAGGGGCCCTGGTTTGTCTGCAGAGACCGCCCGCCTCTCCAGCTGCCCTGGATGGTGGGAGAAGCTGGGGGCATGCGATCAGGAGGACGTTTCAGCAACCCAGGCACCACTTCCAAATGCAGCCTCAACTAAAATGGACGTTGTGGCTAAGGAAAGGGATGAGTTATGAGAACTCTGTGGAGGAGGGGTGATGAGCAGGACTGGACGCTGGGATGCAGAAAGAGGAGAGAGGAGTCCAAGATGACTCCCGAATTTCAGAACTGGGCAGTGGAATCGCTGACTGGCAGGCCGGGGGTGGGGAAGGGTTTCCTGTCCATGGTGCTGAAATAATCCACAAGCTAGTCTGACACCAGGCTTCAGGCCCAATGGCTCAAGCTGTCATGTTTTTGTTGGAATCCATCGCTGTGACACACTCCAGCCCAGATACGGCTTCAGAACCTCACCTCAGACCCTGCATCAACTCTCCCCCTCATAATGTTCTGCCTCCCATTTCAAGGCTTGCACTAAAAATCCCTCTCCACGTTTCTTCCACCTGCCCCCTGCCTCCTGAAAGTCATGTGTGCCCTAAACATGCCCTCTCCATGGGCTTGAGAGTCAATCCCCTCCCCATGGGAGGGCAACTCCAGCACTGCTAGCACAGAAAGGGGGCCCACGTGCTGTTGTCCAGGCCTCTTGCCCCTCTCTTCCCTCCCAGTCCCCTTTCCTGTGCTCGCCTGCAGGATGCTTGCTTGCTTGCTTTATCTGGCAGCCTCACCTCTCCAAGCCTAGATTTGTGCGTGTGCTTCATGCACAGATACACTCATGCACTCGAGCCTCAGTGCCACCCCACACAAGGCACTGGGCTGCGCCCTGTGCCCTTCTCTTCCCTGCTCTGCCTCTTTTGAGAAGCACCTGGCGTGCACACCCTGGAGTCTTTGTGGTTTTCCAAAGGAGGCTTGGCTGGGACTGCAGCACTCACAGGCCAGGATGAGTCACAGCTCCCAGGGAGGTGTCAGTCCTGAATCAGACATTCCTGTTCCCCAGGGAGTCAGCCCCTCAGAGATTAGCACCTGTATGTCCAACAATTGTGTGGCTTGTGTGCTTACCTCTCCAGTTAGGCTACCTTCAGGGGCAGGAAAAGAGAAATTTTCGCTCAACAATACTAGGTGCTTGATATATAGGACTAAAAATGGTCTCTTTCCTGAAGATTTCCATTTGGGGTGAGGAGGCAAATACAAAAACAGCTATGTGTCAAATGCTGTATTAAAGACATATACATGGGTCAAAAAGTTTGAGGAAGTGAAGTTGAATTCAAAGATAAGTTTGTTCTGTGGCAAAAAAAATTTTTGAAGTCCATGCATTGTTGTTTTTATAATATGCATTTCCATGAACTTTTTGAAGACCCCATACAGGAGGGAGCATCCACTCCTACAGGGAGAGGAAGAGGAACAATGGAGATGAGTAGTAACTGAAGACTTGGGAGGGTTTGAGGAGCAGATTGGGAAAAAGAACTTGTGCATACAAAGACTGAGATGCCAGCTGGGTACCCCTTGTTTATTAACTTTCTTATTTGAAAGGCAGAGAGAGAGATCATCTATCCACTGGGTTACTTCCCAAATACCTGCAACACTGGGACTGAGCCAAAGCCAGGAGCCAGGAACTCAACCCAGGTCTCTCATGTAGGTGGTAAGGACCCAGTCACTCCAGCCATCACTGCTGCCTCCCAGGGTGTGACATTAGCAGGAAGCTGGGGTCAGGAACAGAGCCAGGAATCAATCGCAGGCACTCTGTTTGGGATGCAGGTCTCAATTGTTGCACCAAATGCCTACCCCTGGGTATTTCTTTAAGGTAATAGATTAATTGGAGCTCATTCAAGAAGGCATCCACTTCCTCTTTTTCTCCGTAAGTTCTGGTAAATAGGCTGAGGCAGTTTTTATTGAAAACCATGTTTTGACCAAGAGCAATGACATGGTGGCTGGAGGTAAGACATGCAAGAGACACAACGCACTTGAGACCAGCTGGCCTTCTTGTATGATGCAACTTTAAGGCCATTGTAGTTCGTAGGCTTGGGGATCATTGCCTGTCACTTGTCAAAAAGGTTAATTCTGAAACAACTGGTGGCCAGATAGGCACTGGGTGTCAAAGGCAGGACCCAGGCTTTCTTCTCCGCCTCTTCGTTGGTTTGCTTGGTGCTGAAGCACTCCATCTTTTGATCTTCTACATGGATTTGTCAGTTCTGCTCCTTTGCTTCCAAAGGATTTGTATGCGTGATGTAGTGCTTAGGCGTGTATTCTAGGCAGAGAGTGCTTCGTTTTATACTGGACTTCCAGTGATGGCTCCTGAACAGGACCAAGCTCCAGATAGTCAGGCACAGACACTCAGTCCCCTGGGATATGGGGAGAAAGAAGGAAAACCCTACTTGTCAAGATTCCTGCCTTAGTAATTTTGTAAACAAAAGAAATTAAGGAAGGGGGAATCAAGCAGTGTGGTAAAAATTTAGTAACAAGTTGATGTTTGTAGTTTAGAAATAGTTAATATGACTTGAGGCCAGAATTCGATGACTTCTTTGGTCAGGCTGCCTCTGTGGTCATGGGAACTGGCCAACCCTGCACACCAACCCTCTGGGGGCCCTGAGTCTGTGAATCAGCTCTCTTCCCCTGGCAGTGGTGAGCCACACAGGTCTCTCAGTGGGAGGTTTTGATGGGAATTGTTTATTGATTTGGAGGGAGGGAATTGTTCTTCCAGGAAACTAGTCTGCAACTCTCCTTTCTATCTCTCCATTGCTGATGGTTCAAAGCCGCCTCAAGGGATCCTAGAAGCTCATTATGTAATAAAACTCTAGTCTCCTCCTTTGCAACATTCTTACAGCCTGGATCTAATGAATTGTACAAACTAATTTTCAGACAATAGAGTGCACACGTTCATTCAACAATCACTTACCAAGCATATTCCAGGACCAGTGTGCATATTAAAATCTCCTCAGGTCACAACTTTGAATGAGGAAAAGGGAGCTTAAAACAGACTTTTCTATCCCTGTGGCGAAGGGCCAGCAAACAGCTGACCCATCCAGTGGATGAAGCTGTCATGATGACCTATAAGCAAACGTCTTGCGATCTTTTCTCTCTCCTGGCCATCCCCTGTTCTGTCCAGAATCTCCTTATCCCCTGTTCCCTCCTGTGTCTACCCAAAGCAACCATTGGATTTTGGCTTTATTGAACAAGGGAAGCCGTGAGACTGAGGCTGGAGAAAATGGAGTGGGTGGAGAAAATTGTGCACTGGGTTTGTTGGAGAACCAGCTTCCCTCCAGCCTTCTTTTCTACTCCTTTGGGGCAATGCCCAGTCTTTCCTAGGCCTGAACTCTGGGAGGCGCCGGGCTAGCCACGGCAGTGTCTTTCACTTCCGAGCCTCTGACCGAGATGCCTCATTCCATGATGGGGTCACAGATGATGGAGTCTTTCATGGAGATCAGGAAAGCCATCAGGGCCCTGGACAACAAGGCCCTCTCCCTAGGAGCCCACTCACTCAACGCCCCAACCCTGGCTCAGGGCATGGAAAAGATGGACACCTCACGTTGCCCACCAGTGAGCCTGCTCCTGGAGCCACTGAAGTCTTGGTGAGTTTGTGAGTGCTCTCGACTCTAAAGGTGCCTTCCATCTGGAGATCTGGGGCCAGGAAGCCACGTGTATCACCAACGGCAGTGTTTAGCTGTCATTCCAGCAACTCCCCTGTTACAGACAGGGCAAGTGAAACCGAGAGAGAGTGGGTTTACCTGAGCTCAGACAGGCTTCTGGTCCACCCTGCAGTGCAGTGAGGCAGCTTATGTTCCATGCAGCCCCATATTTCATCTTGTTTTCCCCCCCATCCCTATTCACTTCCACTGTTTTAGAGATGGACTTTCTTGCTCCCAAGGTGAGTGTCTCTTCCTACTTGTGGTTCTGTGCTGAGAATCCAGGGTTGGCAAGAGGGAAGCAGAGAAATTCGTGGAGATGCTCAGAGCAGATCTTAGCAGCAGCAAAGTAATCCCTGCTTACTCACAGGAAAAACGGCCCAAATGCACACATTGGGCAGCAGGGAGCACCCGACCACACTCTGACAGAACAATCACAGAGCATAGTGGCAAACCCGGGACTCCTCACTAGGCTGGGGCTGGAAGCTAACTGGTGCTCCCCCTCCGTTCCAGTAATGATGCTCCTAGTGTTTTTCAGCTGTCCTCTCTGGCTAACCAGGGAGACAGAGCAATTTGTAAACAGACTTGCAAAGAGGCCCTGTATGATTCTGCTAACTCAGATGCATTGCACAGAGTTGCCCTGGCTCAGCCTGATGAAGTGTCACGTGATTCAGGGTCCCAGCAAGAAACAGAGACCACTCCAAGTGGAGAGAGCTTCAGGAAACCCTTACAGAGGTGTGAGCTGGGATGAGGAGGCACCTGGATGCTCGCAACAGTGGAGACCTATTGCACACCTAGAGCGGAAGTCAGAACCGACGGGGCTGCCTGAGACAACCTGTGATCTTAGATAGATGATCACAGCTGCTCCTCAGCCTCTGCTCCCGGAGGAGCCAGGAGATAACGTCACTGACTTGCTTCTCCTTCCCCATCATCCTCTGATGCCTGTCTGCGCCTCCCATTGACCAGACCTGACCAGAACCAGAAAGTGAATGTGGTGCCTTCTGCCAGGTCACCCTCCCCAGGCAGTGGCGGGGTGAGAAGGTGGAGAGCAGGTCTGCTGGGCAGACCGAACGAGCAGAGAGCCCCGAAGGTGAAGGCAGCTGGCGGGCCTCTGGGAAGGAGTCCATCCGCAGTCAGGCGTCTCGTGCTGTCTCCTGAGGGCCCTCACCTTCCTCTGTCTGCTCCCGAGATTCTGACCATCCAGCAGGCTCTGACTTTGATTCGTTCTCATTCAGTTGTTCGGCTAGCCTGAGACTAACGCTTCGAGCCCTTCCTCGCTGCATTGATAGGGGTGTCAGACCTCACTCACAAGTCACATCTCACTTAAACTTCCCGAGCCTCCTGTCTCTCCTCGTAAAATGCTCTCTAATTAGCTGGAGGGTTCATCAGAACAACAAAGTGTCCATCGAAGAACAGAGGAGCTCCTAGGAGTCCTAGCAACATTTTGTGCAGTTCAGGATCCTATAGCAGAACATCATAAACTGGGTGACTGTAAACAATGCAAGTCTCTTTCTGGGGCCGTCAAGGTCAGGTGCCTGCAGATTTGCTGTCTGGGGAGGGTCCACCGCCTGGTGTGCAGAGGCTGCCTATTGCTGTGTCCTCACAGGATGGACAGTGCAAGGGAGTTCCCTGGAGTCTCCTGTCCCAGCTACGAGGGCTCCACCTGCATGACCAAATCACCTCCCAAATCCACCTTCAAATACCGTTACCTCCAAACCCACAGCATTAGGATTTCAACATACACATTGGAGTAGGTCCCAGACCTTCAGTCTACTGCAGACAACCTGTGTCTGAACAGTCAAGTCGCACAGACAGTCTATGCAGAGAGACCATGTATGTTGGGAAGGAGGTGGTCTGTGAGAAGGGAGGTCAGGACAGTCCGCCACAGAGCAGGAATCCTCTGTAAGCTTCCCACGCCCTGCCTGGTCCCAGCTCCCGCCCCATAGTAGAAACCCTGAAGGAGCTTGAGGCAGCCCCGTCCGCACCCTGCTGCCCAGGTCCTGTCCTAGCGTAGACAGTCACAGAGCTGCCGGTTCGCCCGCCACCCTGTCAGCTTCCACCCGGGGCTCTGGCTCCGTCTCAGCCCTACGTCCTTGTGCTGATGGCTGAGCGCTTAGCCCAGGTTCAAGTACCAGCCCCAGTTCTCCAAGTCTGACTGTGGAGGGCAGCCTCACTGGCAGCTCCGTCCTAGGAGCCTGGCCAACATCTGTGGTTACCAGGGAAGGCTGAGGGTGGCCTGAGCACCCTCCTCTGTCGTGTCACTGCAGGCCTCTGATGCAGGGAAGGCGAAGGCGTTCTTGTCAGCAGAGTACTTGGATGAGCCCCTCAGGACCCAAAGGGCGATGAGCGTCGTCAGCATCATGACCTCCGTGATCGAGGGTAAGTGCCGCTCGCGGAACGTCTGTTCACTGCGCTGTGCTGAGTAGCCGTGTGAGTAGCAGGAGAAGGCCCCGACTCGGCCCCGTGGACGCTCCTCTGTGTCCTGAGATCCGAAACGCCCCTCCCGCACGTGCCGAGGCAGAGCCCTCACCCTTTCTCAGTGCGGTTTTCACGTCTGTAGTTTTTCAAAATCACAAGACTCCGGTGAATGGAGCGCTGTGGGCCACCTGTTGCTCAAATGCACATCTGCTACGAAGCAGGTGCCCTCTGCACTCACGGAAGTGGGTTCTTAAGAAGTAACTGTCAGAGACCAGAGAAATCCAGGCCGGCTCTCCAGCTCCTAGAAATGTAACAGTCTTACATTTTCTAACATGACAAAATTATCCCGTGTTTCGTGGCTGTAACTTTCACAGCTGTGAATTAATTTCTGCCACAAACCCCATGCTTCTAATGCTAGACATTGAAAGGTAAACAAATCAATCCATCAGCTTCACTAAATTTTTGTGGATTTTGGGTTCTGACATTCGAGTGGGAATCCACCCGGGCTCCCCAGGGCTGTGTCTAAGTACCAACCAAAGGGTGGAGGAAGGGAGTGGCACCAGGCTCCGGCCACCTGCCAACCAAGAGCCCATAGTGGGTGATTTCATCCCTCACCTGAGCACACGGTTCTCCTGACTAGCCTTTATTCTGCCTCGGGCTGTGTGGTGTGCGGGGTTGGCCGTACCCAGTTACGAACCTCCCCCGGCAAATCGAAGTGTCGTGGGAGTCTGAGTGTTGAGGAGCGTAGGCGCTCTCCTCCCAGCCCTGGGATAAAGCCTGACGTGGGCAGAGGGTGTGATGCAGTGGAAACTCCCAGAACGGTTGAGGGACTTGAAAGCAGGGCCTGTAGGTGCCTTGTCCTAGGCGAATCCAGAGCTGGAAAACATTAGAGAGATCCACAAGCTAAGCATGGCACAGGCCAGCAACGTGCCTGGGTAGGGACCGCCCCAGGCACCTTCAGAGAGTGCTCTGTGGATGCAGAGTGGCAGGAGAGTCCCTGGGTAAGGACCCCCCACTTGTCACTTTCCCAGTGATAAGGACTGGGAGAGCAAAAGAGGAGGGAAGGGAGGCGCAGATAGGGCGGCTTTGGATCGCGTGTTTCCGGAAGGCCCTTCTCCATGCGCAGAGCAGGAATCGAGTGAAGGCGGGGAGTCAGTCATAGGAGAATCCAGGGAGGAGCGCTCCGTCCACGTGACCAGTGAGCAAAACCTGCAAGACGGGGACAGCAGTGAACCCAACATCCCAGTGTAAGAAAGATGCAAGGAGGCCTTGGGGTGGAGGGGAGGCGACGGAGGACACTCGTCAGTAAGGACACAGCCTGGAGCCCAAGCGCCTGGTGGCGGCCTGTGTCTGCCGTGGTGGGAGGCCTTGCACCCTTGGGCTCCATGAACTTCGCGGTGCCTCAGTTTTCTCACCAGTAAAAACTGAACATGTACCTACCTGGCAGGGTTTTGTGAGGCTTCCGATCCAAGAAGATCCTCTGAACCAGACCTGGCGCATGGTAGATGCTCTCCAGATGGTGACTGTCCTGTTCACCAGGTTGCAAACTCCGTGCGAGCAGAGATGCTCCTGCTTTGCTCACAGCTAGGAGAGCAGTGCGCGGCGCAGAGCGCTCGCCGGCAGATGGTAGATGAATCAGTGGTGAATGACTGGGCCTCACGGGGCGGCACTGGGGCGAGTGGTGCTACTTTGCAATGATCTGAACTGACTAAACGAAGAAGAAAATAAGGAGCAGTCAGATACTTGGGACAGGACACGGTGCTTCCCATAAAGATGCTGTGAGAGGAGACAGAGAACGGCAAGGGAAATGACACTTTCCAGAAAGCCTCGTAAGGGAAACCTTGGTGAGGTCTGAAGTGTCAGTTTTCTGAGCCCAGTGCGTGCAGCCTTCCCTGGCCACGTGTTAGGGCCTCGGTGCCCACAGGCTACACGAAGCGTACTCATGCTGTCAGAGTCGTGATAAAGGGCTTCAGAGGCCTACGAGGACTTGGCAGTTCACTGAGTTCAAGGCACATGAGCCATCTACGCTTGCCGCGCACGCTGAGATCTGACAGTTGTCCAAAGCAGACGAACAGATGAGGACCAGAGCAGTGAGGACAGCTGCCTCACGCTTAGCAGGAAAGAACGTGGAGCAAGTCACTAGTCTGGTGCTGAGTGTCTGGAGGAAGTGCAGGGTGCTAGGGAAATTGGTACGTTTAGTCTGGGGTCACAGAAGCATTCGAGGCTGCAAGGATCCTGAGGAAGAGTGAAAACCCCTGATGTAGCTGGGACAGAGAGAGCAACAAGGAGGGGCTGGGAGCAGATCCGAGAACTCCCCCGACGACATTGGGGAAGTGGACTTCACCCTGAGAGCAGTGAGCGGCCACTGAAGCAGTGCAGGCCGGGAGCTGTTTTGTAAAGGTCGCTTGAATACTCAGAGAGGAGTCAGGAGGGGAAGTGTGTCGGCAGGGAACCTGGGTAAGAGACGGCAGTGCCTAGGCTCTGGGGTAGGGCGGGCGGGGGGGTGGGTGTGAAGGGAAGAGGAAGGGTCTGAGAGCTCCCCCCAGGACACAGGATCCAGGACTTGATGCACCTTTTTCTGGTGTGGGCAAGCAAAGGGCTACTCTGGACGTGACCACTTCAGGGAGAGCAGGGGGCTTCGCTGGACAACGATGAGAGGAGGACTCAAGTCTGGGACTCGGGTTCCGGGTTCCCTGGGAAACATCCAGCTAGGGATGTCCAGTCTCAAGCTGATGCTACAGCAGGAGTCAGCAGGCAGCCTGGGCATGCGTATTGGAAAGCGTGTGTGAACATAGATGGGGACTCCGACAAGAGGCAAGTGGGTAAGGTGGCGTCGTGGAGATCAAGCCCAAAGACAAGATGGTCTGGGGCAGAGGTGGAGCAAACTGCAATGATCAGCCGTGGGGGAGAGGGGACAGAGGCAGCGGGCGTGCCTGCAGACAGGACAAGGCCCGGAGGCGCGCAGTGCAGAGCCAGGAGGGAACCCTTCAGCAGACCAGAGAGCAGCAGAGGCTGTGCTGCGGAAGGGTCGGGCCGGACGCCGCCTTCGGAGTGTCCGTGGCTATCTGTGGTGACCCGAGTGGAAGGGGACAAACAGCATACAGGAGTTGGCAGACACAACGTCGGTGGCTTGAAGAGGAGGCATCGCACAGACAGGAGGTTTGCCGTGAGGGTGGAAAGGAGGCCCTGGGTAGGAGGATTTTAGTTTTTTGTGTTTTGGAGGCATTGGTGTGTGTGTTTGGAGTGTATATGCTATGAGGAGGACCTGTGAGAACGGGGCAGACTGAAGATCAAGGAGAGAGGAGGCACACCTAGACACTGATCGTGACGGCGGCAGAGCCCCTCTGCACCAGAGCAGGAGGGGAGGGAAAAGCCTCACTCGTCTAGAGAATTCTCTGGGGAGGGGCGACAGTCATGCTGCAAACTGGCACGTGTGTGGCTCTCAGCCCCCAGTCGCCCAGCAGTGCTGACGCTGCTTACAAAGCACAGCCCCTCTTCCCAGCACGCCTCACAGACAGGCGGCTCCATGGCTGCCGGGCTGCTCCTCGGCACCGGGGAAGCTCCTGCGTTCTGCCCCTGGGGTGGTTGGTTTTGCTCCCGGATGTGCCGACTTCTTTACGGAAATGTGCTTTGACTTCTGGTGTCTGAAAAATCCACAGCCAGTAGTTAAAGCAAGCCAGTGGTGAAGGTAGGCAGCTTATCTATGAAAGAGAAATGGACACAAATATATGAAATATATAGACAAGTATAGAGATAACTAATGACAAAATCCTCGGGGAAGTGAAAGATTGTAAATAGTATTGGTATTAATAAGAAGAGATTGGAAAAAGTGAGCCAGATCAATATCTTATTCCTTACCCAAAATAAGCCCAAGTGTACCAAAGTTCTCCACGCAAAAAGTCAAACAAAAGGAAGGAGAAGGCACGGACAGAAAAGCCTCACAGGTACGGCGTGAATGCAAGAAAACAGGGAAGCAATGACAATCTGAGTATGAATGTTTTTAATTCTCTCCTTTCTATAAGGTGAACAGATGTCGTGTATTCCAGATATACAGGTTTGAGAGCGCAGTGATACTTCAGGCCCTGCCCCCCTCCCCCCTTGCTCCCCCCTCCCCCCTTCCTTTCTACTTTTGTTTCAGTTTTTACAATGACACCTTCAGCTTGTTTCATAAGCACAGCTCCACTAAGTAAAGACTCCAGCAAGTAGTGAAGTAGAAAAACCACTGTTCCTCCGAGGATAGACAGGGCTGTAAGGAGTCACATCTCGGCCGGTCAGTCTCTCTCTCTTAGGTTACATTTCTTTTGTTTTCTCTCTGTCAGTTACCACAAATATGGGAAAGCACGTGACATGAATGTTTAGGGAAGCAGTGGGGGATGAGCTGGTAGCAGACGGGGTATGTGGTGCCTGGTACTTCCGGTACCTTCATTTGCTTTCAGAAAATGCCCGGAGTAGTAGCATTCAAGCCTTGCAGTGTGCCTGCAGTGCAAGTTAGACCCTCCCGCCAAGGACCCTCCCCATAGCCCACAGCCCACACCCCCACCCCGTGACCTGGTCTCCCAGCAAATGTGCCTTCCCAGTCGCTGTTGTATCCTGTAAGCCACTTCCTATCCAGATACGAGCACACACACCCCTCACCCATAGAAAGGTTTTCTCCATCACCCTCTCCCTTCTCATAATGTTCTTCACTGTGTTGTTATTGTAAAGAGCGGGCACCGTCTGTCTTGGCCTATGTGGGCTGGTGTCTATACAGGACGCGTGTCTGGTAGTGGAACTGCTGTACTTACAGCCATGAAATTCCTGGTTACACACCCAAGTGGAGATTCAATGGAGGCAGCGAGAGACAGGAGCCCAGTGCTGAAGGAAGAGACCAGACACTGGACACACTGCTGCTCAGTCTTTTGGCTAGGATCAAGTGCAGAAACCGTGCCTACGCAGACATTTCAAAAAGTTAGTGGAAAACAGGATGAAGAGGCAGTTTATTTTGATGCAAAAAAAGAAAAAGAAGGAAATCCCTGCATATGTACGGTCTTCAAAAGTCTGTGGGAAATGCACATCGTGAAACAACTATGTATGGATTTCAAGATATTTTGCACCAAGACAAACTTTTAATTCCATTTTTCCATGAACTTTAAAAATACTCTCGTATAAACGGCAAACAGATGGTTCAGTGAGATTTTCTAGACAGAGGAAAAAGGGAGACTAGGAGAGAATGCTTCGGTTCTCCAGCACTTGGCTGGCGTGGCTAAGACTCAGCTTGGAACGTGCTGTCCCACAGTGACGTGCGTGAATCGGAATCCTCCTTCCGCTGCCTTCCCAGGTGCGCTAGCAGGGAGCTGGTTCAGCAGCAGAGCAGCCAGGACTCGAACTGGTTCCCACATCGCACGGGGCAGCTTAACCTGCACACGACACTGCCAGTGTACATGCTGGTGCGGGTGGTTCAAAGGGGGCAAGGGGGATGGCAGGGGCTTGAGAGGGTGGGAGAGGAAAGGCCCCTCGTGAGTAGGAGGGAAGAGTGACTCACACACTGCGGGGCGTGGGGGGAGGAGAGGAAGTCCTTGGAGGGCAGTTGTGCATCCTGAGTGAAACAGAAGAGAGTGAGGAGTGGAGGGGAAGAGGCCGGGCTGGTGGCCGGAGGAGGCTGGACAGGTGAAGGGGCAGCCTGTGGTGCAGAAGCAGGACTCCTGCGAGGCACACGCTGGGGCTCCCGCATCGCTGCTGGGCCCAGGTAGCGCGGCTGTGTGTTCTTCCCCGGCCAGGTTCAGCTCCTGGGTGCAAGTGCACAGGAGTCTGCAAACCGGGTGCATTCAAGTTGGGTTTCCCAGGGACATGCGATGGAGGAGGAAGGTAAAGGAACTGAGGGTCTGTTAAAGGGACAGGCGTGACAGCTGAGCCGGGGAGGTGGAGAACATGACAGAAGTAACAGGCAGTAAACTGTGCGTGCCCGAAGGTTTGAGGACGGGATGGGGACAGGGATTGGGTGAAGCTGCGAGACTAAAGGAGCCAGGGAGCAGGGAGGATTCCTGGGGAGAAGGGGGGCTGAGGTCGTGACCAGCCCTAGCAAGGCCTGTGAGATGGCCATAGGACGGGCGTCCCAGGAGACGCGGGCGCTGACAGCTGTTCCTGACCACCCCTGTGATGCAGAACTGGAGGAGTCGGAACAGAGGTGCCCGCCGTGCCTGACCGGCCTGGCTCAGAAGTACCTCATCTGGGAGTGCTGCCCCACGTGGGTGCGGCTCAAGAGCAGGCTCTTCGAGCTGGTGACCGACCCCTTCACCGAGCTCACCGTCACCCTGTGCATCGTGGTGAACACCATCTTCATGGCCATGGAGCACCACGGCATGAGCAGCACGTTCGACACCATGCTGCAGACAGGCAACATCGTAAGTGGCGGGCGGGGGCGGGGTGGCAGCCCTGGCGGGGGGGACACGGGGCACAGGGGGGAGACTCTGGAGGACCCGGCTTGAGCTGGCGGAAATCACTTTGGGATGAACAAGCGCAGGCCAGTGGTTGGAGAGAGCCCTGAGTGGGAGGCGGTATTCTGGAACCCCTTAACAGAGCCTGGGACAGCCACTCGACTCGGGCTCTTGGCTGCTTCTCCTGGAATGAAGCCAGAGAGCGCTTCCCCGGCTAGTGGCAATCCAAGCACACAGAAGGTTCCTTCCAGCTCCGTTACGGCCCAGCCTGCAACCACAGCGGCCCTGGTTTTCAGTGCTGCCATTGAGGCACAGGAAGAGTAGAGGAGGCAGGGAGGGGGGACGTGGGGACCCCTGTGCTGGGTGAGTGGAGGAGGCAGGAGGAGGCAGGGAGGGGGGACGTGGGGACCCCTGTGCTGGGTGAGTGGAGGAGGCAGGAGGAGGCAGGGAGGGAGGACGTGGGGACCCCTGTGCTGGGTGAGTGGAGGAGGCAGTGAGGGGGGATGTGGGGACCCCTGTGCTGGGTGAGTGGAGGAGGCAGGAGGAGGCAGGGAGGGGGGACGTGGGGACCCTGTGCTGGGTGAGTGGAGGAGGCAGTGAGGGGGGATGTGGGGACCCCTGTGCTGGGTGAGTGGAGGAGGCAGTGAGGGGGGACGTGGGGACCCCTGTGCTGGGTGAGTGGAGGAGGCAGTGAGGGGGGACGTGGGGACCCCTGTGCTGGGTGAGTGGAGGAGGCAGTGAGGGGGGGACGTGGGGACCCCTGTGCTGGGTGAGTGGAGGAGGCAGTGAGGGGGGACGTGGGAACCCCTGTGCTGGGTGAGTGGAGGAGGGAGGAGGAGGCAGGGAGGGGGGACATGGGACCCCTGTGCTGGGTGAGTGGAGGAGGCAGGGAGGGGGGACGTGGGGACCCCTGTGCTGGGTGAGTGGAGGAGGCAGTGAGGGGGGGACGTGGGGACCCCTGTGCTGGGTGAGTGGAGGAGGCAGTGAGGGGGGACGTGGGAACCCCTGTGCTGGGTGAGTGGAGGAGGGAGGAGGAGGCAGGGAGGGGGGACGTGGGGACCCCTGTGCTGGGTGAGTGGAGGAGGCAGTGAGCGGGGACGTGGGGACCCCTGTGCTGGGTGAGTGGAGGAGGTAGTGAGGGGGGACGTGGGGACCCCTGTGCTGGGTGAGTGGAGGAGGCAGGAGGAAGCAGTGAGGGGGGATGTGGGAACCCCTGTGCTGGGTGAGTGGAGGAGGCAGGAGGAAGCAGTGAGGGGGGACATGAGGACCCCTGTGCTGGGTGAGTGGAGGAGGCAGGAGGAAGCAGTGAGGGGGGACGTGGGGACCCCTGTGCTGGGTGAGTGGAGGAGGCAGGAGGAGGCAGTGAGGGGGACATGGGGACCCCTGTGCTGGGTGAGTGGAGGAGGCAGTGAGGGGGGACGTGGGGACCCCTGTGCTGGGTGAGTGGAGGAGGCAGGAGGAGGCAGTGAGGGGGGACGTGGGGATCCCTGTGCTGGGTGAGTGGAGGAGGCAGGAGGAGGCAGTGAGGGGGGACGTGGGGACCCCTGTGCTGGGTGAGTGGAGGAGGCAGTGAGGGGGGACGTGGGGACCCCTGTGCTGGGTGAGTGGAGGAGGCAAGGAGGGGGGACGTGGGGACCCCTGTGCTGGGTGAGTGGAGGAGGCAGTGAGGGGGGACATGGGGACCCCTGTGCTGGGTGAGTGGAGGAGGCAGTGAGGGGGGATGTGGGAACCCCTGTGCTGGGTGAGTGGAGGAGGCAGGGAGGGGGGATGTGGGGACCCCTGTGCTGGGTGAGTGGAGGAGGCAGGAGGAGGCAGGGAGGGGGGATGTGGGGACCCCTGTGCTGGGTGTCTGTTTTTCCTGTCACATCCAGTTTAGGCACGATGCTACTTTAAACCTTCCTCCAGCATTTTTTAGTATTATTTGCTTTTAACAAGTTAAAAAAAAAATCCACGCTGAGTTTCAGTGGAGGCTGAATTAAAGTGACTCAGAGGGACAGCAGCAGCCCAGCCTGGTCTTTGCTGCAATAATTGTTACAGCACCCACTCAAGCCCAGACGTGCTCTCCCAAGCTCCTTGTGGATTAGCTGTGGTGTTTTTTTTTTTTAAAGAAAGGTTTTATTTATTTATTTGTTTGTTTGTTTATTTATTTATTTATTTGAGAGGTAGAGCCACAGACAGAGAGAAGGAGAGGCAGAGTGAAAGGTTTTCCATCTGCTGGTTCACTCCCCAAATGGCTGCAATGGCCAGACCTGGGCCAATCAGAAGCCAGGAGCTTCTTCCTGGTCTCCCATCTGGGTGCAGGGGCCCAAGGACTTGGTCCGTCTCCTGCTGCTTTCCCAGGTCATAGCAGAGAGCTGGATCAGAAGAGGAGCAGCCGGGACTAGAACCAGTGCCCAGTGGGATGCCAACATCACCAATGGAGGCTTTAGCCCACTGTGCCACAGTGCCGGCCCTGGATTACCTCGTTTTATCTGCACCACGACCCTATATGGCAGGTGCTATTATTGCTCCCTTTCACAGATAGAAAACTGAGACGCACAAGGTTAAGAAACTTACCCTGGGATCTGAACCCAAGCCGACTGGCTCAGAGCCCATTCTTCTTAACCCTGGGGCTGCACCGCCTCAGGGACCTGCTGTGTGTGTGTGTGTGTGTGTGTGTGTGCCTGTGCCTGCACGTGTATACACACACACTTAGTAAGCAGAAACTGGCAGGGCTCCGGGTCCCCCAGAGGTGGTCGCCCAGGTGCACTGGGACTCCCAGCTCTTCCAGCTCCCCAGAGACTGCAGCCGTGGGTGCAGGGGTCCCAGAGAAAACTCTTCCCCAGAAGTCTCCTCCCCCTCCCCCTCATCCCACAGCAGGCTCCAGAACAGTGTACAGTCAGCGTGCACCTAAGCTGGGCTGTCGTGTTCTGCCCAAAGCTGTGTGAGACGAGATACTGTGCCCCATCAGTATGTGCAGTTACATCGCAAAGGCAGGCAAGGAGAGCTGTGCTGTATTTCAGAGAATCACAGGGCTGGGCACTTGGCCTGGCGGCTAGGGTGCTGGATGCCCACGTCCCATATCGGAGTATCCAGGTTTGAGTGTCAGATCTGAATCCTGACTTCAGCTTCCTGCTGGTGCTGCAGGCAGCAGGGATGGCTCACGTGGTCGGGTCTCTGCCACCCACATGGGAGACCTGGACTGAGTTCCCTGCTCCCAGCCCCAGCCTGGCCCAGCCCCATCGACTGTGGGCACTTGAGGAGTCTGCCTGTGATGCTGGCATCCCATATGAGCACCAGTTCAAGCCCTGGCTGTTCCAGTTCCCGTCCAGCTCCCTGCTAATACCCCTGGGAAGGCAGCAGAAGATGGTGCCAGAGCTCGGGAGACTCAGATGGAGCTCCTGACTCCTGCCTTCAGTCTGGTCCAGCCCTGGCTGTCGTGGCTATTTGGGGGGTGAGCCAGTGGATGGAAGATATTCTCTCTCTCCCCCCTCCCCTCAACTCTGCCTTTCAGATAAATAAATAAATCTTTTAAAACTCGAATGCAAAAAATAGACTGTTGAGCCCCACCCACTGTCATTCTGTAGCTGGAGACGCTGAGGAGTCACAGCGCAGAGCCAGTTGAGGAAGGAAGGCAGGGCGTGTGCTCAGTGCTCGGGGAATGTGACCTCAGCAGCGTACCTGTGCTGCGTGGTCGTCACCAGCATCGCATCCCAGGAGAGCACTAACACTCAGAAGTCAAGTATCCTGCCCAGGGTTGCAAGGCTGATAGGATGGAGCCAGAGCTGACTCCGTCTCTCTAAGATGCAGGACCTCACACACGCACACACACCTGTGCACACACGTGTGCATATGCACACACACATACACAGGCACACACACATGCACCATCCTAGCTGCCTGCAGAGGCTACACAGCAGATGCTGTGCGTCCCACAGCTGTGGTCTATGGCACTGGCTGCGTGGTCAGCTCACCTGTTCCCTTGCCAGTACAGGGCTGCCACTGCCTGCCTCCCAGCCTGCCAGCGGGCTCTGATGGAATGGATGGGAATGAGGGGAGCCCCCGGCCCTGGCCTCTGCTGTCCTCCTTGCCTCTTCCAATGCCAGAATTCTGTCCTGTTTAAGACAACTAGAGACACTCAGAGCGGAAAGGAATCTCACAATGTCCTTTGTTCCCGCTAATCACGAATGTTTATTAATGCTTTATACCTGCCAGCCCATTGCTTGAGGGCTGCACATGCATTAATTGCACCCATGAGGAGATTAAGGTTAAGAAGGGCTGTGTCACCAGTGAAGCTCACACAAGCCGGCAGACGGCTGAGTTGGGATTCTTCTTGGGTGGTTGCACTCAACCCACGCTGTTAACCACCGGAGCAGACTGGCCCCTCAGCTACCTCAGTGGCATCAACAGCCTCCCTGGAGACGATCCACTTACCCCACCCCACTACCGTCCACGTGGCTCTAACGCACACCCCCTGAGCACTGGAGATTAAAAATGGGACAGAAGCCAGACCGGAGGCCGGGCTCTCCTTTTAGCCATCATCCCCCAACCCCACAGACCCCACTGTGTTGAAGAACCTGCTTCCACCCACAGGTGTTTACCATATTTTTTACTGCGGAAATGGTCTTCAAAATCATCGCCTTCGACCCCTACTATTACTTCCAGAAAAGGTGGAACATCTTCGACTGCATCATCGTGACTGTGAGCCTGCTGGAGCTGGGCATGTCCAAGAAGGGCAGCTTGTCCGTGCTGCGCACCTTCCGCTTGGTAACGCTGCCCCCGGAAACCCCACCCACCTCCAGGCGCTCAGCCTGGGGGACGCACTCTGTCCCCGAGCGCTCGAGCACTCCACAGCTGGCTCCCCTTCCTGCCTGTCCCCAGGGAGGTGGGCACGGCTCCGGGGAGCCTGCAGATGTGGTTTTCCCGGGCTGACTTCACTGACCCTGGGCGGGTCGCCGCCTCTGCACCAGCAGCAGGCTTTTGTTCTCTTCCCAAATAATAATAGCAACGACACTCATGCCAACTTATGACGTGTCGGGCACCAGGCCGGCCTCTTGACATGACATCTCGTTTAGAGAAGAGCCTATTTCTCTAAGTAGCCAGAACACGAAAGCAAGGGGCGGGCCCTAAGGCAGGGCCAGTGGAAGACATCCAGACGTGGTCCCCAAAGAAGCCACTGTGAGTCCTCTGATAAAGCGTTTTTGGTACCCTCGGGGAAACAGCTTGCTGATTTAAGGTGCATGGTGCGACCTACAATGTCCAAAGCCCCCAACAACCAAACAGGTTGACTCCACAACGGAAGTGGGGTCTGCGGCACTTCCCTCCTGCCCTGGCTCAGATTCATGGCCCACAGTATCACCATGGCCTTGCAATATCACCAAGGCCTTGCCTTCTGCCCTTGCAGCTCTGTGTGCATGGCAAACCCATAGCCTGGAGTCAAAGCCAACAATTTCCCTTGACGTCTGCATCCAAGGCGTGGGCATTGCTGGCGAAAAACAATATGGCTCAGTGGGCCAGTCTCATAGCTTTAATTTACAGACTTTATTTTTCAGAACAATTTTAGATTCTCAGAAAAGTAGACAGGTATTACAGAAGGCTCCCGTATACTGCATACAAACACACGCACACCGGGTTTCCCCTACTGTCAACAGCACATGCGTTACACATAACTCCCCAGTGGCTTCCCACTGCTGCGAGAACAGAGTGCAGGGTCTGGCTGGCAGTGTGCAAAGCTCCCCTGACCGCCTACTCACTCGCCAAGCACTGTCCTCTTGGCCTCTTGCTGCAGCCTGAGGCCTCTCCCTTCCCGACACGTAGCAGGACTTCTCCCAGCACGTGTGTTCCCCTGCCTGGAAGGCTTCCCCTGTGGCCTCCGCTGGGCTCAGCTACTCTCCACCTTGGGCACCTGGCCCACAAGTCACCTCCTCCAAGAGGACCTTCCCCCTGCGTGAAGCCAGAGTCCGGTGATGGTTCAATATATGTGGACACAGTGTGATGCTCAGATCAGATCAGGGTGCACAAAACCGTCTTCTCAAGCACCCACCCTTTAATTGTGCTAAAAGCATCCCCAGCCTTTTCTTGTAGCTCTTCTGAAATATACAGTCAGTCATCGCTGTCTGTGGTCACCCTGCAGTGGAGCAGAACCCCAGAACCCAGCACTGACTCAGTGCCTGTGGTCCAGCCTTCCAGCCCTCTCCTCTGCTCTCCTCGGCTGCTGGGGCCCCTGCTCTACTCTCGACTTCTGGGAGATCAACTTTCCAGGTTCAGAGAGAGAGCCCTGCCATTGCCGGTTCACTCCCCAGACAGCCACAACGTACCCTTTTCTAACTATTTTGGCTAACATTGTAATATTTAATTTATCATCCAGGAATATCTCAGTAATTCCAATGAGTTGTCTAGTATAATCCTTTGGATTTCTAACACAATGAGGTCATGTAGGAACAGCAAGTTCTCTCCTCCTTTTCTACTCTGGTTCCTCCCTCTCTGTACCAGGCTGTTAGGGCTGTGAAGAGCAGCAGTAAGACCAGGCATCCTCGCCCTTTTCCTGACCCCAGAGAGAACGCTTCCAGTATTTTACCAAGTCTGACATCTGTGGCAAGACTTCTTAAAAACAAAGAACTTTATCAATTTAGGAAGCTCTTTTTTGTTCAAAATATTTATCACAGATGGATGTTTAGTTTTATCAAGTAATTGTTCTGTGTGTATCATGATAATCACATGAATTTTTTTTTTTGATAGGCAGAGTTAGACAGTGAGAGAGAGAGGAGAGGAGAAAGGTCTTCCTTCCGTTGGTTCACCCCCAAAATGGCCACCATGGCCAGTGCGCTGCACTGATCCAAAGCCAGGAGCCAGGTGCTTCCTCCTGGTCTCCCATGCGGGTGCAGGGCCCAAGTACTTGAGCCATCCTCCACTGCACTCCTGGGCCACAGCAGAGAGCTGGACTGGAAGAGGAGCAACCAGGACAGAATCCAGGGTGCTGGCACCGCAGGCAGAGGATTAGCCTAGTGAGCCACGGCGCCGGCCATGAAACTTTCTTTTAATTTGTTAAAGTGATAAATTATATGAATTTATTTTCTAAGACTGAATCAACTTCACATTCCTGGAATAAACCCAGCTGGATCATGATGTATTTTTTAAAAGATTTATTTATTTATTTGAGAGGTAGAGTTATAGGCAGAGAGAGGGAGGGGCAGAAAGAAAGGTCCTCCATCCGCTGGTTCACTCCCCAAATGGCTGAAACAGCCGGAGCTGGGCCGATCTGAATCGGGAGCCTCTTCCAGGTCTCCCATGTGGGCGCAGGGGCCCAAGCACTCTGGGCCATTTTCTACTGCTGTCCCAGGCCATGGCAGAGAGCTGGCTAGGAAAAGGAGCAGCTGGGACATGAACCTGCTAGCGACACAAGCAGAGGCTTAGCCCACTACGCCACAGTGCTGCCCCCATAATGTATTTTGAATACATTAGAACATTCATTTTGCTGATAATTTGCTGTAGATTGTTGCGTCCATATTAACGAGTAGTATTTGACCCATAACTTTCCTCACCTGCGTCATCCTTGCCGAGTGTGGTGGTAAGGTATCGAGGTTATGCCAGTCTCCTTTAAAATAGAGCTGAGCATTCTCCCTCTCTTCTATACTCAGTCTTTGAGTAGGAGTGGAATTGCCTGCTCCTTGTCGATTTGGTAGGACTCGGAGTGAAGTCATCTGGAGGTCAAGATTTGTGGTTGCTGATTGAATTAGGTTTTCTGTTTCTCTGACCGGTCGTTCCATTTTTCCCTCTTATCTAAATCTCCAGTTTGTTCGCACGGAGCTGTGTATGCTATGCTATCATTTGTGTGTAGCCTGTGTGGCTCTGTCTGAGGCGAGGTCCCAGAGAGGCAAGGCTGAGAGGCGATGGGGCTCTAAGAACTGGGACCCAGTGAGAGCTCGCTAGGTCGTGGCCGGTGCGCCCTCAGAGGGACGGATGCAGCCCTCATGGGCCCCAGCTGCTCTCACCCCGAGTTCTGTGGTGCGACCCTGTGCTCCTGTCACGGTTGAGGCCGTGTGTCTGAGGTCTTCCCCCGGGGCTGAGCGAGTGCCAGGGCCATGCCCTTGCACCTGCAGAACGGTGGCTTAAATTGCTCTCTTCCTGATAAATACCGAGCCTCGGGTATTTTGTTATAGGAACGATGAACCAGTGCACTATGCCTCTTTCTCTTAAAGTCGGTATCACCTACGCTTGTGTCACTGTTTTCTTAATAATAGTGATTTGTGCTTTCTCTCATCATTTTTCATTAATCTTGCCAAAGATCATCAATGTAATTAATTTTTTCAAAGAACCAACTTTTGGCTTTTAATCCTGTGTGCGTCACTGGTGTTTTTCTATTTCATATAATCCTGTGTCTTATCTTAATTACATCCTCCATTTACATATTTTGTTCTTTTCTAACTTCTTAAGATGCAATTTTCAGTCTAGTTTCTTTTCCAATAGAGTCACTTAAGACTTCAATTTCCTTCTAAGAACTGATTTAATATGTAAAATTTTCCTTATTGCTTAGTTCTAACTATTCCCTAATTTCAACTTTGATTCATCTTTGGACTCAAAGGTTAATTAGAAGTGCAATTCTTAATTTCAAAACATATGTGGCATTCCTAGTCATCTTTATGCCATTGAGTTCTAACTTAATTGTATTGTAGTCAGAAAACATATGCTGTATGATTTCAATGCTTTGAAGTTTATAGATAATTTGGTTTTGGCTCAATATATTGAAAATGTTCTTTATGTACTTGTAAAGAATTTATCTTCTGCCGTTGTGGGGTGCAATAGTCTACATATACCCTTTCGGTAGAGAAAGTTCATCGTGTGATATCAGTATTCCATATCCCTGTTTATTGTCGCCTGCTGTTTGTTCTAGCAGTTACTGGGGGATGATGTATAAAAATATCTCCCAGTTCTGATTATGGGTCTGTCTGGAGGCTACATTACCAAGTGCATACATATTTTTAAGTTGCTGTGTCTTCCTAATAAAGTGAAACTTCTGTAAGATTGACCTTCTTTATCTCTAGAAATGTTTTTTGCCTTAAAAAAAATCTCTTTTGCCTGACGTTGATTAAATACCTTTGCATCCTTTTGGCTTAGAATTTGCCAGCTATGTTTTTATCTGCTCTTGTACTGACAGTCTTTGTGATCCTTAGGGCTTTTATGTGTCTCTGGCAAATAGCACACGCTCAAGTTTTGGGCTGGTATTTGGTTCTGACAATCCAGGCTTTGTCTTCTAGCCAGAACATTAAGTGCACTTGTTTTACTGTGAAGCCTGATGTATTTGGACAGGTGTGAAGCCGGGTCCCTCTCGCTCCTTGATTTTAACGTGGTGATTTCTCTTTGTTCTGTTTCCCGACTTTGCTGCTTTGAAAACTGAAAACTCTGCTTTGGGTCTTCTAGTAGTTGCCTTGGAAGTGACAGCATAAGTGCAACTTAATCAAAGTCAACAGCTTGATAAAATCTTCACCCCCCCCCCAACACCTTTTCATTCCAGTTACCCCTCCCCTTGACTTATTGTCATGCTAAGTATTTTAACTTTATCTTGATTTTAACCTTTTTTTTCACTAACTAGTGGTAAATATTGCTGTTATATCAACAGTCCCAAAAACTCAGTAGTTTAACCCAATAAAGTTTTATCCCTCACTCACCTGATGGAAGCCAGGCAGCTCTCATGGGACATCTTCAAGGAGTGACTGACCCATACCTGAAGAAAGCCTTCAGCCCTCAGAGTTTCTTCTTGTTTGTGCAAA